CATAGCTCACCCTTTTGCTAAGCAAGCTACGCAGATTTCACAAAGCTCTTGGCTATTCTCTTGATGATATTTCAGGTATTTCTCTAGACTTGTCCATGCATAGGATACATCTGGAGGATGAATCGAAATCATCAGTGGAGCATTAGAGGAGGCTCAATCCGAACCTACAGGATGTTGTCAAGAAGGAGATCATGAAGCCGCTGCAAGCTGGGATCATCTATCCCATATCAGACAGCGCCTGGATCAGTCCGGTTCATGTGGTTCCTAAGAAAGGAGGAGTCACAGTGGTGAAGAATGACAAGGATGAGCTGATTCCTACCAGAACAGCGAGTGGACACATGATGTGTATAGACTACATGAAGCTGAATGCAGCCACTAGGAAAGATCACTTCCCCCTGCCTTTCATCGATCAGATGCTGGAGAGGCTGGTGAATCACAAGTACTACTGCTTCCTAGATGGCTATTCAGGCTTCTTTCATATTCTCATCCATCCAGATGATCAGGAGAAGACCAGAAGCTACACACCATCTACTATGCCAGCAGAACATTGGATGAAGCTCAGAAGAATTATGCTACTACTGAGAAGGAACTATTGGCAGTTGTCTTTGCCTTTTTGAGAAGTTTCGCCAATACCTAATTGCCTCCAAGGTCGTGGTCCATACAGACCATTCAGCACTGAATTATTTGATGCAGAAGAAGGATGCAAAGCCAAGATTGTTGAGATGGATTCTGCTTCTCCAAGAATTTGACATTGAAGTGAAGTACAAGAAAGGAGTTGAGAATGGAGTTGCTGATCATTTCTCCAGGATCAGCATTGAAGATGATGTCTCAATCAATGATTTCTTGCCTGAGGAGAATGTTTATTTGATACAGACTCGAGTACAGGAAAAAAGTATTGAAAACCTGCATTCTTCTCAGAACTACAGGGCAGTGACGAGCGACACCAGGAGGGTGACGCTCGTCATCAATTCAGATGATTCACAAAGAAGTCGCAATACAACCCCAATGATGATCGCCACCCACTCTGGTGACGCTCGTCACCCCACACAGCTATTGGCAATGATTTGTGCAAGCTTGGGAACTGCTTTTCAAGAGCAAGTTTATACTGCAATTGATCCCAAGAGGCCCTGGTATGCTGATATTGCCAACTACTTAGCTGCAGAGGTTAAACCACATGATTTTAAGGGGTATGCTAAGAAGAAGTTCTTGAGAGAACTTAGGAGATTCTATTGGGATGAGCCATATCTTTACAGACATTGTGCAGATGGGATCTACAGGAGATGCATAGCAAAAGCTGAGGTTCCAGACGTTCTGTTTCATTGTCATGGCTCAGAGTATGCTGGACACTTTGCCACATTCAAAACAGTCTCCAAAGTTCTTCAAGCTGGCTTCTGGTGGCCTACTATGTTCCAGGATGCACAGACATTCATTACAAGATGTGATACCTGTTACAGAAGAGGAAAGATTAGCAGAAGACATGAGATGCCACATAACTTCATTCTTGAGGTTGAAGTCTTTGACTGTTGAGGCATTGACTTCATGGGTCCTTTTCCTTCATCATATGGGAATATATACATTTTAGTTGCTGTTGACTATGTATCCAAGTGGGTAGAGGTGTTGGCAACTCCTACCAATGATGCTGCAGTAGTTCTGAAGTTGTTTAAGACCTTTATTTTTCCCATATTTAGTGTTCCGCGAATTGTTATCAGTGATGGTGGTTCTCACTTTGTTAACAATATCTTTGACAAGCTGCTGAAGAAGTATGGTGTTCAGCATAGAGTGGTCACGCCTTATCATCCCCAAAGCAGTGGACAGGTTGAAGTCTCCAACAGACAGATCAAGCAGATACTGGAGAAGACAGTGGGAAAGACAAGGAAAGACTGGTCTGCAAAATTGGATGATGCATTGTGGGCTTACAGGACTGCCTACAAAACGCCACTTGGGACTACACCATTCCATCTACTCTATGGCAAGGCGTGCCATCTTCCAGTGGAGTTGGAGTACAAAGCAGAATGGACTATCAAGAAGCTGAACTTCGATTTGAAGCCTGCTGCAGAGAGGCGCTTGATTCAACTCAATGAACTGGATAAACTGAGATATTTGGGCTATGAAAACTCCAAGTTATACAAGGAGAGGACAAAGGCATATCACGATAAGAAGATCCTCTCCAGACATTTCGAGCCCAATGACCAGGTACTTCTCTATAACTTTCGTTTACAGTTGTTTCCTGGTAAACAGCGATCTCGTTGGTCAGGTCATTTCACTGTCAAAGAGGCTAGACCACATGATGCCATTGTCCTGATCAACTCCAAAGGAGAGGAGTTCACTATCAATAGACAGAGGGTGAAACATAATTGGACGCAAGCCGAGATTCCACGCTTGAGGTTTAGAAGTTATTAGGTTCATCTTTGGGTAAAAAGGGTAGAAGAGAGCTTTTACTTGCATGCATAAGTGTGCTTTTACCTTTGGCATTTTGTCTAAGATATAATCATTTCATTGAGTGATCTCTTGATTGTTTGAACTTTGATGCATTAGATCATTTTTATCTCATAACCATATCCCTCTAGACCAAATGTTCTCACTTAATTTGCACAAACTTGATCCATTGGCTACAATTAATGAATGTTAAAGAGTTGGTTGATTTGAATGATTGTGTAGGCTAAGCTTGAGTTCACTGTTTGTTAGGATGAGTATGGCTAAGGCTTTTGAAGTTGAACAATCTTTATGCATCTTAGATTATATAACTTGGGTATTGAATCAATTTTTCCATTAAGTTTTGAGCTCCCACCTTCAAACCTCTTTCTCTTATTTGTCTTTGATTGCTTGAGGACAATCAAAAGGCAAGTGTGGGAGAGTTGATATACACCATAATTACTCCATTATATGCATGCATTTAGCATTAGTTTCAGCATTTAAACATCCTTTCTTGCATGATCATGTCTCAATTGCAATCATTCCGCATCTAGAGTGTAGTTAGGAGTTTCATTGCACATTTGGTGCATTACGAGCATTTGGCAGGTGCAATTAAGGAGCTTATGGACTGATAGATGATCTGGGAGTGACCTGGTGGGGAGACAAGGGCGAGAAAGCCCCATATCAAGCAGGATATCGACTTATCAGGTCGATACATAGCAACATATCGACATCATAAGTCGATACAAGCTGAGAAGCCATACCGATCAACATATCAAGGCCCCAAGACGATGCGAAGAGACAGGACAAGTCAATGAGTATCGAGCCACTCTAGCCGATACAACACCTTTAGAGCCTCTATACCGGTCTACATATCGACGTGGAGCATCTCGATACACAAGCCAAGAAGTGTATCGATCAAAGTATCTATGGTTTTTCCCCATATGCCTTTTTAAAAGGGCGATTGTATTGACCAACATACCGAGGAGATCAGCCGAGAAGCTTCAGCCAGAGTCGACTGTATCGATCAGTGTATCGACCAGACTTGGTCGATACAACCTTCAGCCAACCAGTATCGATCAGAATATCGATGTAGCAGGCCGATACAAGGCGTCCGAACCAGCTACTTTCCGGTTTTTTTCGGTTTACTAAGAGTTTTTCTTGAAAACTATATATAGGTTGTGACCCAAAAACATGGGGGATCATCTTTTATCATCTTGATCCTTTGGATATTAGCTTTATCCTCTGTATTCTATTCTTAATCTCTTGTAATTTCTGCTTTGAATCTTGTTCTTTCAATCAAATCTAATATTTATCTTCTTTCTGATCATAATTAGTCATTCTCCTTTGCCTAGGGTTATGCCTAAACCTATGATTAGTGAGTAGTTGCTTAGGGTTTGAGATGGGATAGAGATAAGAAGATTTGAGGATTCATTAGTGATTGCTTAGTGTTTAATGTTGATGTTCCTTCTTATTGATTGTGTTTAATGCTAGATTAGCCCTTGCTAAGTTGATCTAGATCCTAGGATCATCTTATGCCTGATAAGTGTTTGATGAATTGCCTGAATGAGTCAAGTAAGAAATTTTCTTATCATAGCCTAAGAAATTAGCTGTCTAAAGAGTGGATTGGCAATATAGAATTGGATTAGTTACTCATAAATCTTGTTGATCATCTATTTCAGTAATGGAAGTTATCTGATTATGTGCTTAGCAAGGTGATTAGTATCAAGTAATTGAGCTAGTCATAGCTGTTAATTCTATGCCTAGGAATAGCTTGTTGTGGGTTTGCAAGCATCACTAGTTAAGTCAAGAGTCTCCCTTGATCAATAACCTCATCTCATCTCCCACTTGTCTTTTGATTGAGTGAATTCGAACCTGCTTTAATACTCTAGTCTTGTTTTGTTTGCGCTAGCTTGTTTACAGTTTCTTTAAGTTATTAGACTCATAGTTTCAATCAATTAATCATGTTTGCTTGAATTGAATAATCTATTGCATTCTTAGTGTCTTACTCTCCCATTATGGATTGATGTCTACATACTACAATGGTATAAATATATATAAGATTTGAAGTAGAGTAAACTCCTACATCAGAAGTTAGTCATCCGGCTGAGCAGACAACCCGCCAAAAAATCAACGGTACGAGCAATAAATAGCTTTGTCTGTATTTTGATTTTCTTCTCTCGGTTTACTTTTCAAAAAACTCAAAATCAGATGTACCAAAATATTCAAAAGTGAGAATCTTTAGTAGCTAAACCATTCTTCAAGCTCGATCTTCTGATTTTTTTGTATTCTTCTTTTTCTAGCTATCCATAAGGTTTTTTTTCTTTAAAACCAATGGTAAAACTGAAATCATAGCTTTATAGAGGGCGTCTGGGAAAGAACCTCACGAACATTTCCAATCAATTTAAAGACGACAGTGTTTTAGCCTCAATATCTTGATTTCACAAAATTTTGGTCAAACCAGATGCATATGTCATCTCTATAAAGCATTACATTTCTTGTCCCAAGTCAATGTGTATATATTTAAACATGAAGAGACTTGAACATACTGTATATTAAAAAAACAGATTCTGAGACTTGAGAGGTTTCTACTTCTTCATTTTAAGCTCAAGTAATCTTGACCATCTCATATGGACAGAAGCTGTATTTGTCTCACCAACATCTGCAAAAGCAATTCATAAACCAAGACCTTTAATGTTTATGAACAATTAACATATATGCCATCTGATTATAGAGAAACAAAACCAACACAAATATGTTACTTACAAGGTTCTGGTTTTTCACAGGACTCTGAGCATATATCCTATAATCAAAACAACAATTTAAGCTAAGCTTAAGGATTGAATGAAACCTCAATATAGTTTTTAGATGAATTTTACTTTAGCATAAGTTGTGAGCCGGATAGTGTCTTGTACAAGGGAATCAAGATTAGCTTCATATTCAGGTCTCACATATATCACCTACCAAAGCAGAGAATTTCCCTCATTTTCATTTTGTTTAAATGCAGATAAAGAGAGCTTAATTATGATGTTTCAAGAGCGCTCATGGAAGGATCATCATCGCCAATTTCTGGCAGTGTTGAAGCTCGAGTTTCCCGACTTGAATCCAGACTGTGAAATTCATATCGATCTGGTCACATATATCAAAACAGTTTTGTTTGCTCAGAAAGATGCATCATCACTTTTAGAATGAAACCGCTTATACCAGTCGAGGATAAGCAGAGGAGCAAATGCTGCACTTTCTTGAGAAAGATGTTACGATTCTTCCATCTACTGAAAGTGTTCCTAATTTTACATATCTAGATATTCCTAATTTAGTCATATCATTTGTGTGTATATCATGACCAACAGTTCCAAGGAGGGAAGATCGGACCTGTGATGATAACTAGATGGTTTCTTCCATATGATGAGACTGAAAAAGCCTGCATAGATGCATCTGAGAGGATAAAAGAATTACTGACAAAGCGTGCATAAATGCAACTGAGAGGATAAAAGAATTCTTCTTAGGATGGTACCAACAAATGAAAACGTCTTTTTTTTTAAACATTATTAATATATGTTGTGTATATAAACCCTAACTTAGGTCTAACCATGTATTTCCCCCCCTCGAAACTTTACATGGATCAGTTTTATGGAGCCGCTACCAAAAGGTAGATACCCAGACGTCATGAGGAAAATTGTTGGAAGTCGTCTTCCCAACTTCACAGAAGCAGAAGCCAAACTTGTAAAGGGTTCATATGATTTTCTTGGTCTCAGCTATTACGTCACTCAGTATGCACAGCCAGCTGATAACACACTGCCATGATGGACCCATGCGTAAAGCTCACGTGTACTACTCCATATATTACCACTTAGTTACAACATTTCTATTACAAAACATATTGTGTGACTGGCCATCAGTTATTTCGTCATCCAAGCTCATGGTCCACTTGTATATATGCATGATTCTTCCATTCAACAATACAAACTTTAAGCAAACTAATTCTTCTGGCTTATATATTTGCTTATGTTTCTCAGTTCTCTGAAGATAAGGTAAGCGGCAACAGCTATTACTACCTAAAGGGAATTGACTACGTAATGGATCACTTCAAAACCAGATACGGTGACTCTTTAATCTATATCACCGAGAACGGTGAGTTCTACTACTCATATCTTTTTATGTTAAGTGTATTTCCAATATTTCTCTGAATATATTGACTCAAATATTGTACCAATTGTTCATGTACCGTGACAGTTTGATTAGGAATTAGTAGCCTCCGTTTCGAAACCTGTGAGGAGGCTGTTGCCGAATCCAAGCGGATTGATTATCTTTGTAGTCATCTCTGCTTTCTCAGTAAAGTCATCAAGTGAGTGGATGCTAGCTAGCTACTACTACTACACTCTTGTTCTTTTATTTTTTCTTTTACATACATACATGCATGTTTGATATCATCCTCGTTTTAATTATGATTGTCCATGCAGAGAGAAATGTCAACATAAAAGGATACTTTGCATGGGTTCTTGGAGAAAATTATGAATTATGTATGAACACTTTATGCCCATGATGAATCTCATGTCACAACTCTTTCTACTTGCTCCATAGATAACAATAAGGAGCTTCGTTTCCTGTTTTAAATAGAATAATCCCCCACCCCCATGATCAATGAATAATACTTTGAGTTACTACTACATTATGCCAAGTCAAGGGATGGGAAAAAAAAAGCAATGAACTCAATTTAACCATAAGAGCATCTCTATCAACAGGTTTTCAAACAGTATTTCAGCATAGAGAATATCCATCCATCTGTAACAGAAGTCTTTCAGAATTAAAAAAAAGTAATGATAATAATGAAAAAGAAAAAAAAAAATAGAACAATGTCTTAGACTATGAAAAGACCGTCATTATATAATGGGTTGAATCTTTTTATATATAACTAAGTTTATAACTCGAGCTATGCGCGAGTCTGTATTAATAGTTTAATTTGATTTTTTTATTTTATCTACTATCTTTAAAATTATTAAAACTATTATAAATTTACAGAAATTTTCATTTATATAAGAAAAATTTAAATATAATATGTACTTTTCTCCTATTATTATTTACAAAATTCTTAATCTTATTGAATAAAATAATAACAATGACACCTATTAAATTATCTAAATTTGACATACATATACATTTGATTTAGAAAAGAGTTTTCTTGCTAAGATCTTGGTATTTTGTTTTGTTTTCCACAGAATTTCTAGAAAAAAAATTCTTTAAAGTTTATGTGTTCAAATATTTAGTTTTTTTTTAATTAAATGTTTTATTGATGTAGTACCTGTTGATTTGCATTTAGTTTTGTTAGGAAGTTGCAATGATCACACAAAACCGTTTCTCTTCCTTTTCCCCAAGTCTTCAACAAGTTTTACCTTATATCTTTATTCAGTTTTCAGTGAGATCTGTTTTTCTTTCCAGTCTAGTATTTAAAGAAATTAGTTTTTAAACTTGTAGGATTGGTGGTGTAGAGTCTTCGCATTATTTTTTTATAACCACGTCGTTTACACCATATTTATAAAACTGGTGTAAATTGGGTTTTCTTCGGTTGAGATTTTCTGGTCAACAATGAAATGAAAAGAAAAATTCATTGATGGAGGATTTAAAAAAATGGAAAATTGGTTAGTGTTATTTGAAGTTTTTCCATGGGCTTGAAACTAAAAAATGTTTAAGCCCTATTTCTTTAAGTAAGAAGATTTAATCTTTTATAGATTATTGTCATTTTTTATATTTTATGGAACTCGAGTTGTTAAATCGAGTTGTTGTAGATTTTTTTAAATTGATAATTGATAATCGTGGAATCGTTTTAATTGTTATATCGAGTTGTTTTAGTTTTTTATAAATCAATAAATGATAATGGTTATTTTTTTATACATGTATTTTTAATTGTTTTTATTTAAATTTTACAATTTTAAACCATATTAACATTTTTTTATTTAATAAATATGTTGATTTGGATCAATCAGATTGAATTTACTTTGTTTTATTGGACATAATTTGTTAAATTAACTTTTAATATTTTAATTATACTTAACAATTTTTGGTTTGATAAAAAAATGATGTGGACCAATTAAATTAAGTTTTTTTATCCTAATCATACTTAACATTTTGTCAGTTAATGAATATGTTAATGTGGAACAATCAAATTGAATTTTTTTAATCCTATGTGGACACCTTCAATGCATTATGCCTTCAACTTTTATATATTATAGACTAGATATATAACTCGCGCTACGCGCAAGTCTGTATTAATATTTTGGTTTATTTTTTTTAGCTACTATCTTTAAAATTATTAAATATTATATATATATTTATAGAAATTTTCATTTATATAAGAGAATTTAATATATAATGTGTAATTTATCCTATATTTATTTATAAATTTTAAAAAACTATTAGGTAAAATAATAACAATGACACCTATCGAATTATCCAACTTTGACGTATATATATATTTGATTTAGAGAAATATAATCTTGCTAAGATTTTGGTATTATTTTCTGTTTTCCATATAATTTTGATAGTTCTTTTTTTTCTTGAAGGTTTATGTGTTTAATATTTAGTTTTTTATTGAAAGTTTTATTGACGTTGTGTACCACTGTATATATAATCCATAATTCATGTTGATTCGCATTTAATTTTGTTAGAAAACTATAATGATCATGCAAAACTATTTTCTCCTTCTCCATCATGTCTTCCAAGAGTTTTATGTAATATTTTTATTCAGTTTTCATTGTTTTAATTGTTAAATCGAGTTGTTGTAGATTTTTTTAAATTGATAATTGATAATGGTTACTTTTTATATACATGTATTGTTAATTGTTAATTTTTTATTTAACTTTTAAAAATTTAAACCATATTAACATTTTCTGATTTAATAAATATATTGATTTGGATCAATCAGATTGGATTTACTTTTTTTTGTTGGACATAATTTGTTAAATTAACTTTTAATGTTTTAATTATACATAATAATTTTTGGTTTGATTTAAAAGCTGATGTAGACCAATTAAATCAAGTTTTTATGTTCTAATCATACTTGACATTTTTTTATTTAATGAATATGCTGATGTGGACCAATCATATCGAGTTTTTTAATCCCATGTGGACGCCCTCAATGCACTATACCATCGACTTTTATATATTATACTAGGCTTTTAACTCGTGTTACGCGCGAGTTTGTATTAATAATTTGGTTTAGTTCCTTTTTGGCTAATATCTTTTAAATTATCAAAAGGATAATATATTTATAGAATTTTACTTTTATATAAAAGAAAATTAAAACAAAATATGTAGTTTTAACTATTTTTTATTATAAAATTATAAATCTTATTAAGTTAAATCATAGTAATAACATCTAACGAATTATCCAACTTCGATGTGCATACGTTTGATTTAGAGAATAATTTCCTTACTAATTTTTTGGTGTTTTGTTTTATGTCTCGCTAATGTTGTGTACCTATGTATATATGATATATATGATTCATGTTGATTCGGATTTACTTTTGTTAGGATACTACAATAATCGTGTAAAGCTGCTTCTTGCTTCTTTACCAGATCTTCTATGAATTTTAAGTTATATCGCTATTCAGTTTATAAGATCTGTTTTTTTTGCAGTAAACTATTTGATAATTTTTGTTTTAAAACATGTAAGATGATATGGAGTCTTCACATTATTACTGTTTTTTTTAATCTTTTGTATGGTTTATTCATGTTTTGATTTGAATAGTTCATCTAAATATATTCCAATTTGAATTTATTTCATAACTATATCATACTTTATTATTTAAAGGAAAATTTAGAAGATGTTACTCATGTGCTGTTCATGTTGGCTAAGTTATAAGTAGTACCTATGTATAAATTAATTGTTATATTTCGAATGTAAAATTACTTGTGTAGTGTTGTTTTGTTAGTTTTTAAACCAGACGCAAGCAATGTATAAGTTATTGTAAATTTAAATAGCACTCCTATATTTAATTTAGAAACTTTTATAACCTACTGTAACTTTATCTGGTTATTCAAAGCCAATACCAATATTTTAGAATTCATGAATTTTCTAGAACTAAATTTTAAACTAATTTTCTTTTTAGATTTTTGTTTTTTGTTATTTTACATATCTTTCGATGGTAATTTTTTCTTTTATTTTAATTTATCTTATTTTGTGCATGTTTGTTATATTTAAAACACTTATATTTTTTATTAATCTTTTTGTTATTGATTTTCCAAGTAGCTAGCGTATACCAATTTAATCTCTTTTACATAAATATTTTTTGTTTGTTAAATTTATTTTTTACATTAATTTTTATTTTAATTATAATGCTATTTTGACATGATATAACTGGGTTTTCTAAATTTTATGTGGACTTCTCTCAAAAGTTTATACCATCATTTGTTTTTTTAGTTAATTTTCTATGTTGATTTTCCAAAATATTAGCCTAAATATCAAGCTAAGTTTTCTTTATACAATTTTTTACTTTAATAATTTACTTCTCTTGATATTGATTTCTATTTTATTTGAACACATAATTGTTTTGAAAATATTGATATTTTTTGAATATATTTTTTTGTTTTTTCGTTAGTTAAATATTTTAATATTGATTTCTTAAGTAGTTAGTGAGATATCAAGTCAGTTTCTTTTTAGGTGATTTTCTAAAAAATTTAACATTTTTAAAAACTTAATTTTTGTATTATTTTTCTTTGTTAATTAATTTCTTAATATTGATTTTTTAAATAATTATCTTAAATATTTATCTTCTTTTTGTTAGTAAAGTTTTATTTTAGTATTACTTAAGTTTTATTATTTTCTTACTTATTTTGTATATATTGATTTTTTTTAAATAAAAAATAGCATAGATATGAAGTTAATAGTTTTTTTTTGTTAATTTAACTTGTTCGATATGAATTTTCATTTTAATTGTATTGATATATTGCAAAAAATAATTTATGTTTGGTTTTTTGTTAGTTAAACTTTTTTGGTTAGCTCAGCTTTTTGTGTTGATTTCTAAATAATAATATAAAGTTTTACATGACTTTTGTTTGTTAATTTAACATAAATATTTTTTGGGTGGTATTGATAGTTTTATATAACAATTTTAAATGTTTATAAAAAAATTAATCTAAACATTTTTCTAAATTAATTACTTATTTAAAATATAAATGTTAAAAAATTCTTTTTTTAATTAAATTTTTTTGTTATTGATTTACATATTTATCTTTGTTCGTTTAGCTTTTCTGACAATATGTTTCCATTTCATTTTGACAAACATAGATTTGAATTTTTGACATAGTGTTTTTAATTGTTTTGTTAGTTAAAATTTTTTTATCTTAATTTTCTCTTCTACTATGATAATTTTATATTTTTGCATGTTTTAATTTATTTAAATTATCAGTCATATTTAATATTTTTATGTTTAATAAAAAATACTGATGTGGACCAATCAGTTTGAATTTTTACGTTATATGTGGACGCTCTCATTGGCCTAAGACATCAACACGGACTACAACTAATATATTTTAGGTAAGTAGTTC